CGGCCTCGATGTCCATGAAGTTCTGAGGTCAAATAGCTATGGTGGTTGTTGATCTCCTCCAGAAGCTTGACATCAAAGGTGTTCAGCAGGTGGCGCTGACACTTCAGAGTGCCGGGGATGACAACCTCTGGCTCTTCAGTCGCGGTGAAGATGGTCTCCTCGTTGTTGAACTCGTTGAAAGTCCAGGGCTTGATGTCGATCTCTCCAGGTGTTGCCAGCTGCAGGTCAAACTGAGGCTCCAAGGTGTCGTGGTAGATCTCGAAGTCGGCACAGAGTGGTAGTAGATATTCTCCATGCATGCCCATCAAAGAGGGAACCCACATCCCATCAGCAAATCGAATCTTCTCCGTCGCAAAGTCCAGGGAGATGTTGAGTTGCTGGATGATGGGTCTGCCGCATAGCATTGGAGTCTCACCAGGGACCATGAACACCTGTGCAAATCCAAATCGGCCGTTGACAAACAGCGGCATGCGGACAACCCAGCGTGACATGCTGGCCGCATCGCCTCCAAAGTGGAACTTCCTCTCGCACCTGTAGAAGAGGATCTGCTTGATTGGGAATCCCAGCTGCTCCAAGTGCTTGATGTAGCGAACCATCGGCCCATAGCCACATAGGAAAGCTGAAGCACCAGGATCAAGCAGAGCAACGTCGAGCCTCTCGGTGCCGTTCTTGTCAACGAACGTCACCATGGCATTCTCATCATGTCCATGTCGAGCCATCGACTCAGTTGCAGGCCGTTTTGAACCTTTGGATTTGATGGGGCAGTTCGCCGCAAAGTGTCCAGGTTGACCACAGCGCAGGCATTGAAGCATTGCTGCAGCTTTCTGATTCGGTTGAGCCGCCTTCATGGGTGGCTTGTCGTACTTGTAGATGTTGGGCTTTCCTTTCTTACCTTTCCCTTTTCCACCACCTTTGAAAGACTTTCCCTTTGGGGATCCACCTCCTGATGACCTTGTCGGCGATGAAGTCCCAGGCGACAAGTTGCCAGCTGATGGATCTGACAGTGCCACCACCGGCAGGAAGCCGCGCGACAACTTCAGGTCGCTGAATCTCTTCCGAGCATCCAAGCAGGCTGCAAAAGCCTCATCATAGGCCTCCACGTCGAAGGACTCCGTCGGCTCAGCTGCAAGTCCATCAGGGTCGTTCTGGTAGTAGCCGAACTCAGCCTCATAGTCACCAGTGTCGTCATACTCATGGTCGTAGACCTCGTCAGTGTTGAAGTCCTCCCCATAGTGCCAGTAGGCATCATCATAGTCTTCCCAGTCCTCCATGTCATAGTCATCCTCAGCTGCATAGGCGCGTCCACCTTTTCCACGTTGCCATCGTCGATCAGGATGCCCAAGCGTAGACTGCTTGTAGTCCTGGCCCAAGATGAGGTAGAGCGCTTCTGTCACCTTCGTCAACTCCAAGGTTGGTGCACGTAGGTTCACCAGCTGCTTTTGCTCCCGCGTCAAACCACATTGACGCAAGAGATGCCATCCCTGCACGGAGGTTGGCAGGGTGACTCCATGCTTCTCCAGCTTCTTGTTCATCTCAGAGTGGCTAGTCACATAGCTGAGAAGGGTTTGTCCTTGTCGTCGTTGTAGTCCGAAGTAGCTGTCGAAGTCAGAGGGCAGCTGGACTCTGGAGTCATACTGGAAGTGGCCATCCAAAATGGCGATCACTGCCTCGAAGGACTCAGGCTTCTCCGCACTCTCCAGGTCGAAGTCTTCCAAAAGTCTCCAGGCCGTTCCAGTCAAGCTACCGATGATGTTCAGCAAAGATTCACCAGCTCGCTTTGTGAGGGTCATCTTGCGGTGGTAGATGTGAATTCTCTTCCTCCACTCCTTGTAGTCTGCGGGTTGCCCGGTGAAGAGTGGGATGAAACTGTCTCTGGTTGAAACGTCAGAGATCGGAGATGAAGATGCCGATGCCATACTCCAAAAAGTCCAAGGTGATCTGGATGTAGCACGAGCCAGCCGCGGCAATCAAGTCAAGGAAGTAGGGCTCGGCCGTCAGATCCCAACGTAGAGCTCTGCAAACAGGATGCAGTAGGGCTCCACCAGGCCACAGAAAGTGGCTCCGCTACCAATGTAAGATTGGCAAGGCACAGACCAATCCCAGGACCCAGCTCCCAAAGTCTAGGCCCAGCACGAAGTCGCAGCTGCCCCTTTTGCAAAGGGCTATGGCGTAGCCGGGTTGGATCCAAAGCACCCACCCTAGTGGGATTTATATGGGGTGATTCGGGCCGTTAAGGCCGCATATGAAACAACATGTATGTGACAAACCAGGGTGCACGGCGTGCAACTCACATATATATATATATACCAGAGACATTCAGAGACCCTTACAATGTAAAATCATGGTGTTTCTCATTTTTTTGTGGCCAATACCTCATTTTCAGACCATATTACATTGGCATTTATTCTTATTACTTGCTTCAAGCGTGCAGATTGACGAGTGGCCCTAAAGACGTCCAAGAGTGGCATGATGTTTTCAAAGATTGTTAGACTTTCTTCGATACGGCGATACGCATGCAAATCTGTAGACCAATGATACTACGGGGATGTGTAATTGTATATTTGACTTGAATACTCTCCAAAAAAGTTTACTGTAGGTAGAACATGATATATATATGTATATATATACTGTATATATATATGCATAAGTATAGCACACAACACGGCTACGGGGCAAAAAGGAACGCTGCTTCACTTTTTTTGCCCAGCAACACCATCTCCAAAGGAGACATGGTGCAGAGCCCAGTCGAACATGCGGCTGCCATATCTCAGCAAACATAGAAATTGAACATTTACATCTACCATGTTTATATATCCACGTTTCTGATTTTGATGCATGATTGGACTTTAAAGATGTCTCAGTCCCAGCAGACCACATCAGATTGGGGAAACATCGAGTGCTGTGTTCCAAACTCCTTGGCACATGGAACCGCTTCCAGAACCACAACAAGGCAGCACCCGGACAAATGGCTGCTGCCTTGATGTTCATCTGCAAATTACAGTAGTTCCATCTCTGCAAGTTGGGATGGGACAGAATGACAACACAATCGCATAGTAAACCCAGTCTCAGCAAACCCATCCTAAATATGGCGAAACAGGTGGCCTTGAGGGTGACATCTCAATGCTTGGGTGCTGACTCCCACAACACCCAGATCCAGTATGGAAGATAAAAGTACTGTACTTTCTGGGGTGGGTTGTATTTTTTGTTGCGTCACCGAACCATCGCTCACCATCACCGATCTAAACACTGCTTGCCCATATTTTCAGACAATGGTTCCATATTTTTCTCCATGTGTTTGACATCTGAAGAGTTTTAAACTCGCCAAACCACCGCACATGGTCTCTTTAGCTGTGATCACACGCGGTCTCCATAGTAGCCTTGAAACAACAAAAATACACTATCTTCATTCGTCTTTCTAGCCGTGAAAAACCATATATATTTCCCAAATATTCCCAATGGTTATCAAGTTCTACTATGACTATGCCCATGTTGTTCCTTGGTCCAAAATAAACCATGATTTCCGGAGGTCTTCCCTCTGCTCAATGCCCGGGTGCCGCCTCGGTTTGTGAGCCCAGCGGATGGCGTGGGGTCAAACGAGGATTCTGGGGTGTCAAGATCAAACCAGTGAGAAAGCGGATTTCAACATATGTTAAACAACTACGTTCCGGCAGGTTGTTCGCGCGCGCTCACAAGCAAGCCTTTCTCTTCAGACTTTCACCCGGTGTTACCAGTGAGTTGAAAAAGTTAAGAGCATAGCATCAAGAGCGTGTTACTAGTTGCTGGAAACAGTTAAGTTGCTGGAAGCAGTTATATAAGATTATATAAGTGCTATTTATTTGAAAAGAGTGAGAGCGTAGCATCACGAGCAGGTTGCTAGTTACCTGAAAAAAAATAAGATCATAGCATCACGAGCAGCTAGCTACTTGAAAACAAGTCAGAGCGTAGCATCACGAGCAGGTTGCTAGCAATTTGAAAGCAAGTAAGAGCGTAGCATAACGAGCAGGTTACTAGCTACTTGAAAACAAGTAAGAGCGTAGCATGACGAGCAGGTTGCTAGTTACTTGAAAACAAGTAAGAGGGAAGCATAACGAGCAGGTTGCTACTGTAGTTACTTTAAAAAACCTTAGAGTGCAGCATCAAGAGCCTGTTACTGTTGCAAGTTACTTGAGCAAGTTGAGAGTTTAGCATCAAGAGCCTGTTGCAAGTTACTTGAAAAGGAACCAAGCGATCTAATCAACACGCAAAGCAAAAGAACGTTATTAGCCCCCCCCCACCTGACCCCCCACCCAACAAAACACTACCCACAGTGCGGAAAGTTAAGAAAAACTCGCTGTGCCCTGCTGTGGAACGCGCGCGAAAACGCGCGCGGACAGTCTACCGGAAGGAATAACTAACATGGGGTTTTGAGCCAAGAAACATGAGACCGCTAGTGATAGTGATGATACTGTTGATAAGGGCTTACATGGCACCGGCCAAGAAATTATAGCACCATAGTTTCGAAAGCTTCACCGTGATCAGCCAACTTACAAAAGGAAAGAAAAGTACGATCCTACTGAAATAATGATAAAATCATATGAATTACTCTTATTTACTCTTTTATCTTTCAAGACTTTTGGGCTTAATCTTTGCCATACCTGCATGGCATGGTCATAGGAGATCAGGGCTTGACAGCCGCTCCAACGATTTGATGCTTAATCATCTTAATCTTTGAATGAGATTCTACCCTTTAACTGACTGGGTCGGCCGGAATCATGTGACATCATGTGACTATGATCAGTCTGTTGGGATACCACCAGTCTTTTGTAGTCGCCAACTGCCGCTTCAGCCATGGCCATCCCAAGGGGCTACAGCTGACGGCGGAATCGCTTCCCAAAGCTGGTGTTTTTTTTCTGATTGCCAAAGTTGGGTGAAGCGAAATTTGGATGCTTGGATTTGGGATGCAATGATGATATATCAAAGATTAGCAACATATGCAACATGTATCCAACCTGTGTTTTTGAGGCCTCAGTCTTGACTCACATACAAAAAACATCAAAAAACTCTTGCGCCGCAGCTGCGATGGGCCCTCAACTGCGTCGAAATCTGGAGTTGCTCAGTTGCAGTAGTCTATAGCAGAGCAAATGGGTGCTTCTACATGTCCCAATTATTGGATTCACATCCAACCTCACGAGGCATTGGGAAGGTATCCCAATCGTCCATTTGTGATCAATAAGCGCTGGTCCCTCTTGGTATTTTCTCCACATGGAATCTCCTATCTCACTGCGTGTAAGGAATTTGGACTGTACTCAAGAGGCCATTCTTATTTTAAAGCACATCCATGGCTGAGTTCATGATTAGCCATGCATGACGAGACACATCTTACAATGTTGTCCAAGACTGTTGCTGGCTGCATCCTCAGTCTTGTCTCTTCCAAGATTGAGTTGCAATCATTTCCTTTCCATATTTCGTATATTTTCATATTATTTCATCATATTTCTACACTTGTCATATTTTTATCCCATCCAATTTACGGTAAAAAGATGAGCGCCGTTGAACCCACCGGATTTGGTTGCACCCTCCCAGCCCCACAGGGAGCTCCAGAGCCTTCAAGAGGAGCTGAGTTGGAGCAATCGTCCCAGCCTCCCAGCAGGGTGGCCCAGCCACACGTCTTCTCCTCAAGAGCCTTGCCATTAGAAAGCGAAGCTTTTGGGGCATCCAATTTGATGATCATACATGTTTTTTTTAAAATAATTAAAAACAATAATAAGATTATACATTTTTCATTCTCCTGGTTTGTCTGGAGAACCGGGCACCCGGAATTCGGTGGTTAATCACAACTATCCCTATGGTCCAGCCAAGAGCACACATTTTTGGCGCCTCGAAAATCTGGCTGAAGGTGCTGAATCCATACGATCTATTCATGAATTGGATCCCAACCATTGGCGGTATTTCTAGTTACTTAATGTTAACTTAGCAATCCCCCAATAAGATAGAACAACAAACAACATCCTACTAGAATCGTGGTGGTAACCTGGTAAATGACTATTCTATACCTATCTTTGGGGATTACCATACGTTGTAATCCAATGATCGCAGATATCGCAGGTCAAAGCGCTGGATCACCTTCCAAGGCCACCCCACAAGAGGCCCTGGGATGCTGATTCGATTTAGTGATTTACCAATGGAAAAACATTACATAGTTGAGGCCATCTGGATATAGTTTGAGGATATAGTTATACTATGTTATACTGTTATACTCAACATTTACTCAAATATATAATATATGTTCTTTTGATATGTATTTCCAGAGGAACATCCACATGGGAGAAAACCGTAGAAAACTTGTGGATTATTGAACAGCTTGTAGTTGAACTCGCTGGACAATAAGAAATGGCTTTGTCTGAAAATAGGGCACTCCCAACTCCAATGGATTTGTGGGTATCAATGACCATTAATAGTGGATTTTCCCATTAAAAATGGTGATTTTCAATAGCTATGTTAAATTACCAGAGGGTATCTCCTATTCTCAGACAAAGCCTTAAATTGTGTTTCTCAGGTGCAGATGGGTTTGGGAGTTTGGGACGTCGCCCAGGGCCAAAGCTTTGCCTTCCTCTGCTCCTATCCCTGGAGCGTTGGGTGCCGCGATGGGTGGGGGATCCAAGATGACCCTCTTTCCCCAACCTCACTGGGGAAGATGATAGGATCTGATAGGATGGGACTTTTTTTTCTTTGAATCTTCCCAAAATTGGATGCTAAAAGTCACAGAAAACCATGGTTTCCGGTAGATTTTCCCTTAAACTCACGGATTGAAGTCTCCCAGTTGAATCACCAACATTTCATGCTATTTAATTTACCGCTTGCAGTCTTGGTGAAATATTCTAATTCAGCCAGATAGCCAGATCGATGCAGGCAGAATCATGTTCGGTCTGAAACATCGCAATGGCAATGGGAAGAGCATCTAAACATGCACATGAATTGTGGATGTTCTGTTGCAGCAGTTACCAGAGGGCAGAAAGCCCACTTACGTGCTGCTTGGCAGGGTGAGGTGAAGAATAAAACCTCCAGAAGTGACCACCCAGTGCCTGCACCTGAACCCCCTGAGGTCTGCCACAGGCAGGGTGGACAGCAGACTGGAGGGGACAGGGTGATGTGAGTTGCATCATGGTGGGTTCCCTAGTTGGGGCAAGTCCATAAGTCAGCTGCACCAGAATTTTTGAGGAAATTGCATCAGAATTGCGGACCTGAGCCATCCTGGGAGATTCTGGGAGTTTTCTAAGCCCAGTGTGGGGTGCCACTCCATTTGGAGACGTGCTGAATCGAGGTGGGTGGCAAGCTGGACAGCCAGGCACAGCTGGGAGAGGTGAATTCATTGCAGATGGACTGTCTTGTCGAAGTTCATCAGTCAGGCTTTGGAAAGTCAACAAGAAAGTGTAATCCAAGAAACATCATAACCAATTTCTGATTTTGAGATATTTTGAGTGCTTACGACGTATCTTCAGGGGAATGCAAAAACCTAACCCACGCTTCCTTTTTGGCCTTGTGGTATCTCAGTAGCTTTCGGAATCAACATTTGGAGAGCATTTTCCACCAGAAATTCAGAGCTACCAAGCCTTGGTATGAACACAACAGTGGGTAGCTGCCCCAAACCAAATATACCAACAAGATGCAGCCCACCGAATGCAGTCACGTAGAACACCTTTGTGAAACAAGTTATTTGAACAGTCTTGTAGATTTTCCCCTGTTACCGTACCAGTACACTGTAGACTGTGGAATGCAGAAGAGGGTGGAGTGCAAAGTGTGGAGTGTGGAGTGTAAAGTGTAGAGTGTAAAGTGTAGAGTGTAAAGTGTAGAGTGTAGAGTGTGGAATGTAAAGTGTGGAGTGTAAAGTGTAAATTGTGGAGTGTGGAGTGTAGAGTCTGGAGTGTGAAGTGTGGAGTGTAAAGGGTAGAGTGTGGAGTGCGGAGTGTAAAGTGTAGGGTGGAGTGTGTGAAGTGATGTAGAGTGTGGAGTGTAGAGAGTGGAGTGTAAAGTGTAGAGAGTGGAGTGTAAAGTGTAGAGTGTAAAGGGTGGAATGTAAAGTGTGGAGTATAAAGAATAAAGTGTGGAGTGTGGAGTGTGGAAGGTGAGTGTGGAGTGTAGAGTGTGGAGTGCAAACTGTCAAGTGTGGAGTGTAAAGTGTGGAGTGTAAAGTGTAAAGTGGGGAGTGTGGAGGGTAGAGTGTGGAGTGTAAAGTGTGGAGTGTAAAGTGTGGAGTGTAAAGTGTGGAGTGTAAAGTGTAGAGTGTAAAGTGTAGAGTGTAAAGTGTAGAGTGTAGAGTGTGGAATGTAAAGTGTGGAGTGTAAAGTGTAAATTGTGGAGTGTGGAGTGAGTCTGGAGTGTGGAGTGTAGAGTGTAGAGTGTAGAGCACGCAACGCGACACGTCTGAAGTGCTGCGCGTACCACGCAAAATGACGATGGAGGTCTCCAAAGCGCTGCGACTGCCACGAAACATGCAACTCATTTGCTGAAAACCTTGCCAAAGTATTGCGCCTGTTACACAAAACGATTTTCGATACGTTTGCAGACACGTTAGAATTGCACGAAGTGCCACGCCTGCCACGCAAAGCGACATGACAACCTGCTTGGACACCTTCGGAAAGGATAGGTTTTGCAGCTTCCCCCATAGACACGGCGGAGTTAGAGGTTAGAGGAAAACCAGAGACTGAGGACGAGACATGTTGGAGCATCAAAACGAGCATTTCGTGCGAGACTTCCTCCAATTTTTTGACACTTTGTAGCTTCCTTATCGACGTTTTCCCACGAGTTTTCTCATGAACCTTAAAATTTGCTATGTTTCGTGCGAGGCTTCCGTCAATTTTCAGCACATCTCGCAAAATGCCACGCCTGCGACGGAATATGCACCTGTCACCACTTGATGCAGCAATGACTGACAATGCGATTCGCAAAAAAACACGCAACATGACACGTCTAAAGCGGTGCGCCTGCCACGCAGAATGACGATGATGGTCTCCAAAGTGTTGCGCCTGCCATGAAAAATGCAACGCATCTTCTGAAAACGTCGCAAGAGTATTGTACCTGCCACACAAAACGACTTTCGACACGTTACGAAACACATCTGAATGCCACCAAGTGCCACGCCTGCCACGCGAAACGAAGCAACGCGACTTTTGAAACCTCCAAAAGTGACCCCTTTTGCAGAACTTACCATTTAGGCAGGGCCATACGGCCCTCACGCGGACGGTTGCGGAAGTTTGCGGACGTTTGCGAGCGGTTGCGCAACGTCGAGCGAACACACCCTCAACCCCCCGACCCCCAGAGTGAAACGGGAACCCTTTCTACGCATTTGGGGGGAAAAAATGTAATTATTGTACCAATTCCCCCAGCCACGGTCAAAGCTCAACATCCTAAAAGGATCGTAAAGGCACGCCCCAAGGAAAGTGCTTACATTTGCAAGGTGTCAGACAGTGCCAGACCCATTAGACCATATTTTGAACATATTTGAAGTGTATCGAATAGTGATTTAATATCTGGAATAGAGCACAATTGACCAAAAATTGGATAGAAATTGAGTTATTCTATTGGTTTCTGAACAAGGCTCAAAGCACCACCGTTTTGCTGTGCCAGGGAGACGCAGCTTTGCAGGCCCTGGTGAAGGCAACCGGGAGACAGCAGACATTTGGGGACCTGGCTGTCACCCCAGCATAAATGTGGGAAAAACATAAGGAAATTGGGAAACCCGTTCGGAACATGCTCTACTTTCATGGTTGATTTTCTACATCGAACTTCGAACTGTTAGTTGACCGGAGAGTAACTTGGAGATGAACCACTTCACCAAGATCAGGTGGCCGCTTTTACCGGGCCCAAAAAAATAAGACTTGCTGTGACTGACCCAAAAACTCGTGATATTCCGAGGATGTGGCGGGTATGGTGAACATGATCAACCCAAATCAACCCGTGATGCATGGTTTAAGGTCCCAAACAGATCACCAACCTTTCTGGATACAGGATGGCACCCCAGCGTCTTGGCCCATTCCCCTGTCAGGCCAGCGCAGATCTTCAAAAGATGTCTGGAACCAGTGCGCAGCACTTGCAGCCCTCTATTGCAAGCATGGTGGGGAGCCAAGTTGTGCAGGGTCAGGGTGCAGATTCTTATGTGTTTCATGCTCCAAGTATCTGGATGATATATCTGGTTGGTGACGTTTTTTGAATTTGAATTGCGTCACTACGATGTGAATAGAGATAATGGGCAGTAAGGGTGGGAAGCCTGAACCCCCATTGTTTCAGGTAGATGTTTTGATTCTGCCAGTGAAGTCAAACTTAGTAACCGAGACCCTCGGCATGACCTCGCCAGACATTCCAATTTAATCAGCAATTGAATCTGGTGAGATTCATGGGTATATGGGCTGAGTTGGTGTTGGAACGAAAAGACCAATCCCTGTGTGGTTCCCAGTCTTCAACGAAAAGACCCATATTCATTTTGGATCATTTTGGTAGTGATTGATATTGATAGCTGTTGAAATCCTACGGTCCACATTGGGGAAATCCATTCTGTTTTGCATGGTTTTTGGGTGAAGTCATCAATTTTCCGTTGAACTGCCCCAGAAAAAATCGACACCATCAAGGGTACGCAACACTCTGTAGTAGAAAATAGGTCCAACAGGTACAAATCTCACTTTATACTTAATCAGAGCCTACACCCAGACCATCCCAGACTTATGTCATGTCTTGTGGAGATCAAGACAGTTTGTTTTAGCCTCGCTATGGCACTTGCGCAGCTGCGAGGCAGCCTTCCTGCCTCTTGCGCTTTCAGCAGGAGCAATGCAGCCAAAAGAAATTTTGGAAGAGCCCCCAGTTTCTTGTTTTCTACTTGTTTCTGGTATATATATATGTATATTATAAATATACATATAGATATGTAATATGATTATATAGGTTATATATGTATATAATATACATGTACTACTGTATATTATTTTGTATAAACATATGCATGTTATTTATATACATGTATCTCCAGTATCCAATGTTGCGGATTTACAGGATCATCTGACTTGGATGTTGGAGATGACACCAATGGACCAGGGCTTTTTCCGCCTGATGATTTACAAAGCGGCCCCACATGTCCAGGTGCCAAGGGCCCAAGAATCTGAGTTGGACTTCTTTACCTTGACAGATCCTTCGTATGATGTGCTTGAACCAATCCCATCGGGGTAAATTCTATCCCGAATATGACAAATCTCACGAATCTCAAGCCTGAGGTGTGGTACGATTGGCAAAATCCCAGAGGGGGGTTCTATATTCCAATGACCAACCAGGGAGATTTTCGAGGGATCGCATCCTGTAGGACCGCGAAGCAAGCACGGCGGACACTTCCTGTAGAGAAACAAATCTGCCGCAGAACGGAACTTGGGAATGGAGTGATTTGGCCACCCGGGGACCAAGAGACCCACAAATGGTCTGTCGATTTTTGTACCTATTAAGAATCCAAAAAATTGGGGGTGAGTGAATGCGGACCTATATCCATAAGGTATGTAAATACATTCTAATTATATATAAAGCGTACAAACGGTCGCAGGTAATCAAGTTATATATTGGATAAACCGGACCATAGTAGGGAATTTACCTCCACCATCGCTGGTTGACATCTTGAGTTTGGCAGGTTAAAACCCTATGAATTTGTTGCTCAAAATCCAACTTGTGTGTTGGCTAATTAGGTCCTGAATCTGAATGTTTTTTTCGCCAAATCGCCAAGCTTGGATAGGTGTCATTGCTTTAATGCCAAAGGTTATTTGGGTTTGTCACCACCTTGGATGTTCCTTTTTCCCCACTTGTCCCGACAAATCACGTGATATAGATATATATATATATAATATAATTATATATATATATTATAATATATTGAAATTTACATATATATATATATATATACAGTATATAGAATGGAGATGCATAGTTCATCATAGTTCAATAGTTATATACTGTTCCATACTAAGCCCATAAGTGCCACGCCAGTTTTTGACTTCTCCCAGGCCCTGGGTGACTGGTTGCCCACTGCAGCCTGGTATGCCGACCGACTGCTGAGTTTACGCAGGGTCGGGAGCCTTGGAGAAGGGTCAAAACCATGGCGTCTCCGGGGTGCACATGTCTTGCCAGCGATTTTTGGGTAATTTTACATGTAATTGCTGGGGGTTTGGCCCATATCCATTTGAGGTGGTTGTGAATCCTGATGTGCTCTGTGTGGGAGAGAGTTGCACAGTGAGGTGAGGTGGTTTGTTCGCTTCAGAAGCTTGGGTGAAGCCCCAACATTTGCTGAACTGCCTTCGTATGCTTTCGCGGTCTTTTCCATAGGGGTTTCGTGAATCTCCATAGAATCGCTCATGTTATCATCATGTCATCATGGATTTTTCCTGCAGCTGCAGTGTTGGCGCAACTGCTATGCCGCTTCCCCGCTGCTGTTGTGGTTTTTCCAGGGCGACTCTCACGTCGTAGCATCTCGCGGATTACGACGCGTCCCGACCCCGACTCTTTTCCGAACATGATGAAGCTTAGCCTTGTGGTGATGGCCATGATGGCCGACGCAGCGAAGGCTTGCATGGAATTTCAATACTGGCGATGTTTGGCCGGACAGATCGGACAGTTTCTTGAGAACATCAACATTTCTCAACCGTAGAAGTGGGACGATGCTCCCCAACGGACCTCCCTAACTGACTTTTATTGTTCCAGGGTGCCTATGGTCAATGGTCAGGTGAGGACCGGACTGCTGAAAGCCAAAGATCCATGCCCAGCGGCCCGGCCGAATCCATTTTCACTTGACCTTGGCACATATAATTAGTTGGGTATCATTATCATGATATGGTTGGATGATGCTGGATAAGTTAAGTTGGATAATGTTGGATATACTGATATAATGTGATAGCTGGATATAGCTGGATGCACTTTGACATAGTTTGATGTTCTACTTCTGACGGTTTATTGGGGCTAGTCCCAGCTGTGGTTGCCGAAAATGGCTAAAAGCTGGCCATTATCCCTTCATTATTCGATGACGAAAAAGGTGCATGCAGAGTTCTATGTCGGAAAATTTTTCCCCGCCAAGCCACCATGATTTGAGATGTATCAGCCGGCCGGGCCATGCGAATCGCACCAAGGAAGGCCTCACAAACCGGCCAGTGCCTCAGGTTCAGTTGGATCCTTGTGACATGCATAGAGGCATGCTGAAAACTGGATGGTGAATGGTGGCTTCATCCTGGTGTATTTGCCATAAATACAAAGATATCTGATATATACATACATATTATTACATATTCATATATTATATAATTAACATATTTATATAGTTATTCATGTAGATATACATACATGCTACATCTATCCATCTACTGTAACGATATCCAATTAGTTCGTGGGGGTATCTAAAGAATCCACGGTATCTCCAGCTGCTTCCAGCTGAGGTTTCCAGATGGTTTGCCCAAAAAGATTGTGCTGGCCACTTGGACCTAGACCTAGAGTCCAAAAGCTATCCTGGGAGTGAATCAATCTTAAAACACAAATGTCTATCAGATTCTATCATGTATATTATATATAAATATAATACATATGTGTATATATGTATATATATATATACACGTATACATATGCACATATATATATATACGTATACATATGCACATATATATATATATATATACGTATACATATGCACATATATATATATATACGTATACATATGCACATATATATATATACATACACAGATACACGCAGACACCTCTGCTGGAAGATGAATCATCGATCGCGGAGCGCCTCAAAACTCTTGAATCCCCTACTCGCGAATATTTCTGCAGACCCCATTCCCTTTATTCTTTGCCACGATCCCACTAATTCAAATCTTTTTGTTTTTTCCACCAAGCTGTGATCATGATCCGGTAATGTTGCTGAACCACCAAGCCCTTTAGGTCGATCCATGCTTGGGAGAATCTTAGATCTTGAATTATTTTTCCAAAATAACCATAGAAACAATAGAAACTAATGGAAGTTAAATCCACTCAGTGTTTTTTTTTTCCGTTGATGGACCCAGGTGGATGACGAAAACGGTGGAAAAGCCATGAACCCGATGGACTCCGTCTTCGATCTGGACGCTCTGCGTGCCGCACTGCCCCTTGGATCTGCCAGGGATCCATCCATTGTTGGTAGGTGATGTGCCCTTGGAATCCCTTGGACCATGGGATCTTCTCATGTCCATTTTCAGGCTAGGGGATCTTCAAGTTGTTTGCGCGGAGTCACTGCCTCGTTCTATATAGAGAGGAACATCAGAGATTTCTGAAATTGTTTCTTGGATGACAGAACACTTAGCTCAAGAAATGACCACTGTGTATCACCTTGTGTCCAAGTGTGAATGGAATAACACACCATTAACCGATCAACATTATATAGTCAGAAATTAGCCAGAAATAGTCAGAAACAGTCAGAAATAGTCAAACATAGTCAAAATTTTGTGATAAATAGTCCAACATAGTCAGAAATCCCAAAAATCTTCAAACAGAGTATAAAGCTCACCCAGTGGCCTTCCTGGTGTCAAGGAAGGAGGATCCAGAGTGGAAGATCGGAATGCCTTGGCTTTTGAAGGCCACCTTCTCCTCCGACAGTCAGGCGAAAAGGGGCAAAAGGGGCACCTGGTAGCTAAAGATTTCGGGGGAAAACCATGGAAAACCTTGTTTTTTCCAATGGATTATGATGATTTATTCAAAGTGCCATTTGGGGGGTATGCATGGTATTGCATGGTATAGCCCTTTTTTCAGACAACCCCATATATCACATGATATATTGTTGGTTGTAATCCCAGTATATCCCAGCATTATATTACATCCCATTACATTCCATTCCATCACATCCTGGATATATCATATAAAGATATGTGTTAGAAAAAACACATCATATAAAGATATATAATAGTATATCACATCCCATTATATCATGTCATATCCCTGTAAAATCCACTAGATTTTGGAGTGAAAATTTTTGTGCTTTGAGTTGGAGCAAACACAGCGAATATTTCTTGCCCAGGTTCCCCATTGAAGTTCAAAGCGCTTCCCATCTTGGGGGAATGGGATTATACAGAAATATCCATGACATATCCATGTTTTTTGGTTGGAAAACAATGCCAAACAAATCTTGGAGTATGAGAATGGCGTCAAAGATCCATCACTTCCAGGAAAGTCCATGGCCAGGTGGATCGCACCTTTAGCTTCGCCTCGGGCGATACAGGAGCAGATCATCGCTGGTTGATTGATCCGGGGGTGACATTCAAAGAAAATGTTCCAATCTGATGCAGACAACCAAAAAAAAATAATTTGGGGATGACTTAGGGGATTAGGTCAATGCCAAAGCATGTCTTTGGAGAAATTCACCATGAATCATGCTATGGATGAATTGGTACGATTGTCTTCTGACAGCTGTGCGGCCGGTGCTTGTTTCCTTTGCCAGCGACATCAGTTTTCCAAATTCGACGGATTGGTTTAAGGAACATTTGCAGTCAACATCAGTCAACTATTGTTTTTACCATAAACATAAGGGTTCTTCGTGAATTTCCACTAAACCCAATCCATTAACACCCGCAAAGAAGTAAGAACATTGCATCTCACTCTGCATTTGCGGCCTGCTGGGGATGGGAAAATCCATAATTCTACATTTGGGTTGATCCGAAAACAAGATATCCCAAATTCCCATGGTTGATCAAGGTTTATCATCATTTTTCTGCATCAAACTTGCCATAGGATATTTCCATGTATTTCCGTGTTTTTTTGACACAGCTTTTCAGGATGAAGCAGTCTCCAGGTGTATCAACTGGGACCCCTTGATTTTGCCACCAGGAGGCTTTCTGATGATTACGGTGCCAGCAGGAGTGCAGGACAAGGACATTCAGGCCAGTAAGGCATCCAGGTGGACCCAAGCCTCTGATGTTGACCTGGAAAAACGATGTGAAGATCTCCGCCAAAAAGGAGCTTTTCATCCCCCAAATGCGGACCAAAAACGCCAAAGAATGATATGTTGTCACCCGTAGAAGTTGGGATGTTGCTATTGGAACCCATCAACGTGTATATGACTGTTTCTGGCTGTGGCGCCAAACGATTGTCTTGAACTGGATTGTTGTTTTTGCAAGCACACTGATATGGGATTTGAGGGCGAAACATGGCAAAGCACCATCTGCGTTCATGTTGGATTCATCCGAGTTGTTCCTCTGTGAAACATCCGAGTCACCGTTTCAGTACGTACTTGAGACTCCTGAAACACACATAAAGTATCATAAAGTCACTTCATCAGATGCTATCCAATCAGCACCAGCTTGAGTTGCATAGCTTCTTCCATTCCGTAGCTCCGCAATGCATCACAGAACCACATCCAGCATATCTCAACTTGGGATGGACCACTAAAAATGAGAATCACCAGCCAATCAACTGGGTATGGATCAAACTTGGGTAATCATTGGATGGTTAAGACATGTTAATTTTGATCAACAGATCAGCAATCAGCATGTATTAACCATCCAATGATAGCTTAATTTTAATTACGAATTAGCCAATCAAAGATGGTCACCAGATAAAATCATAGATGGTTATAGTATAAGTTATAGTAGTCATTAGTTATTAGCCACTAGTTTTGCCAATCATCTAACATCTGCTCAGCAGGTCACGGACAACATCGAGATCAGCGGAGCCGACGCTGAGTTCCAGTACAAGAAGCCGCATCTGGGATGGAAGGGGGGTAGCCCCCACCCAGGTCGACCTTCTTAGTATTGAAACCTTTGGTGGCTCTAGGGATCCCCATGTTAAGACACCTCCAAATGTCCAAATGTCCTTTGGTTTGCTTGTTGGTTTCAACAGAGGACTTTACTTTCCTATGTCTCCCTGACATGATGATCCTGAATAACACGATTGGTGTTTTGTTTCAGGGTGCCTGAAACCAGCAAGTAGTGGTTCAAGAACTAAGCAATTTTTGTGACTGGGGTTCTCAAGGATGTGCATATCCAGTGTAGCTTGACATAAGCTGAGGCGGAGTAACCTTCAGGTGAAGACGGCATAGATTGGTGGTTAAGTCATGTCAGGGTTTGACAACAAATAGGGTCCTGCAAACTCCAGTGGTTTGTTATTCTTTTTCCATCTTTTTCCATTAAAATCCACTAAACTTATCATAAATTGGATCAAATTGGGGCATCCCCCATTTCTATCCTTTTCCCATGTTAAGTCCACTGCGGTTCTCCAATGGTTTCTCCGATTTCATGGGGGGCTCTCCAAGAGATTTAAGCGCGAAGCTCACAACCCGAGACTCCGAGGTCCTTGTGGACCTCCGGAAAGATGCTTGGGCTGTTTGTATGTCCGGTGCTAGGGTGCTGCTTAGCGGCTTAACCGCTGAAGATGTTTCTTCCACAGATGTTTCTCAACCAGATGTTTGAATTCTTTTGGAAAGAACCTCATTCTTCAGCAGCAGCATCTTTCTTTAGATTTTAGTTTCTTCATATTTGGAGATTTTGGAGGATTTCTGAAATGGGGGTACCCCCAAATCATCTATTTTAATAATTTTTAATAGGAATTTCCACTATAAACCATTTTGGGGTACCACCATTTATGGAAACCCTCATTGAGAGTCGAAGGAAGTTTAGAAGTGAAACTTCCGACAATATGGCCAGATGGAAAAGCAGAGGTGGGAAGAGTCAGAGAAGAGAAGAGAAGAAGAGAGAAGATCAGAGCAGAGAAAGAGTCAGAAGAAAGAAGATGCAGGTGCGCGAAAAGGTAGAAAAGTCGCGATTTATTGTGTCTATTCTAATGATTTGTGGCTCCAGAGGGTCGAAAAGTAGGCTCGCTAAAGCGGTGGGTACGGAGCCATCTGGCCAGATGAGAAATGAAGAATTGCACGCTGTTGTGGCGCGAAGCACATTTGCAAGTCAAAATGTACAAAGCACACCAGCATCGGACCACTTTTGGAAGTTGAGATGTCGAAAAAGCGCACGCAGTTGTGGGACGAAGCGCATTTCCAAGTCAAAATGTACAAAGCACACCATTCTCAGACCACTTTTGGAAGTTGACATGTCGAAAAAGTGTAGCCGTTGGGCTGCGAAGCACATTTCCAAGTCAAAATGTTAAAAACACCACATGCTCGAACCGCTTTTGAAGGTTCAGATGTGGTTTTGCGTGGCAGGCGCAAGGGATTCTGCACCTTGCCAAAAGTCAGCAAAACGTGAGGGTTTTGTAGTATTTCCAAAAACGATGGAGGCGTTGGACATTTGAAGAGGATGTGGAAAGATGCATGTCCCGTGGCAGGCGCAATACAAAAGACATGTTCATCAGAGATGTTAGGAGGTCAGGTGATTTCCTGAGGTGATTTCCTGAGACAGGTTGGATTTTGGAGATGGAGTGGATAAATCGCAAAACGCATTGGTACGAGGCCGTCAGCTTTGCACTCAACTTTCCATTTTTGAAGGAAGGAAGTCTCGCAGAATTGCAACGTTTTTGATGTTGTCAAGTTCAAAAATTGTGGAAGTCTCGCAGATTTGCAACGTTTTTGATGTTGCAAGTTCAAAAATTGAGGAAGTCTCGCAGACTTGCTGCGTTTTCGATGTTGTCAAGTTCGGAAAATTGAAGAGGTCTCGCAGAATTGCTGCGTTTCAATCTTGCAGATAGACAGATAGATAGATAGACAAGTACAAGTACAACTACAACTACAACTACCACTAGACTACACCACTACTTCAACTACAAATACAAAGATGCTACGCTACATTACACAACGCTAATTACACTACACTACACTTTTAATTACATCTAATTGCGCTACACTACACTACACAAATTACACAACAACAACTACAACTACTACTGCTACTACTACTACTACTACTACTTCTACCACTACTACTACTACTACCACTACTACCACTACTACCACTACCACAGCTACAGCCACAATTACAACTACACTACATCACACTACACTAATTACACTGCAGTACTGTACAGCTACAAATACAACTACACTACATTACGCTACACTACATTATACTACAACTACAAGTACAACTGCAACCGCAGCTGCAACTACAATTACAACTACCTCTACTTTGCACTACACTACACTGCACTACAGTAATTACACTACACCACAACTAAAACTACATTCTTTACAGTGCCCTACACCAGACTACGCTACACTATACCACAATACAGTACACAACACTACAGTACACTACAATACACTACGCTAATTCCACCACACCACAATTACAACTGCAACTACACTAGGTCTACAACTACAACTTACAACTACAACTCCACTACACTACACTACAACTGCAACTACAACTGCACTACACCACACTACATCCAGCAGTTGTGAGGTGACCACTGCAACCATTGCAACCACTCCAAAAAACACAACTCCAGCCACCTTTCGGTCCATCAGTGGATTCGTTCTGCCATCCGTGATTCACAAGAACTCACTTCTGCTATAGGTTTCCTATTTTTTAAAATTTCCGCCACCGCCTTGTGCGGTACTCTTGGTAAATAGAAAACTAAATGCCACACGCAATTGGTTCGGAAAAACGACTGGGGATTCCCCCAGGTGAAGGGCTGGTGGGGGCCTTTTGTGTTTGCTGAGGATCGTTATGGAGAACATCTGCTTGGCACCAAGGTGCTGGGGCGAAGGTTAAATCAGTTGGGAAACATCATGAGCAAATGAGGGAATCGCTGTTTTCAAGGAACCATGTTCCAGCTTCCGTGCAGGGACGAACTATCAAGATGAATCACAGTATAGTATACAGGAACCCACAAAATTATGGAAAAAAAACTTAAATTGATTGGCGACCTCCTGTTTCTCATAGAGGAATTCTGCAGTGGAACAATATTTTTTTGTTTCGCGCCTAGTCAGCCGGCAGTAGTATATTGCCTATTTATTGTTCATGATTCATCTACTGGTGGTTCAAGTGTCTACATGTAATCAATACAATAATATATATATATGTATATGATTATGCACATTTTTCAGGGTTGATCTATTCCTAGGCATTCCTGAATGTGTAGCTCCGCAGAACGGGGTGATGAACAAAAAATCCAACCTTCCAGGCCGTCCGTCCATCGATAAATGGGGATACCCCAATGGCTGGATGTTTTTTTCCATGGAACAGAATAAAATGGACGATTATTGGGGGTACCCCCATTTTAGGAAACCGCCATATGTATAGAATACATAATATAATATAAATATAACTAAATAAATAAATATATATATATATAGATATCACGAAAGCTAGCGTCAGCTAGCTGGAGTCTTCTTGCTTTAGCAAGTATTCCGGGGGCTGCTCAAGGACATCACGTGATTTTTCACGCGAAAGGGCCCCTCCCTGCCCCCTCCCCCATATATATCATTGTTATATATCATATATCATATATCATTGTTGCATCCTCGTTGGGACGAACAATGCCGCGACACGATGACAGTCCCTCCGCAAACCTCTTCCCTTCCTTCTTTCTCCTACCCCGCTAGCTTTCGTCATCCACCCCCGGCCTCAAGTATTATATACATATATATATATTATATACATATATATTATATATACATATATATATATACACATGTATATATAATGACAAAAAATTGATAACACTAAGAATAGTAATTCTAATAAAACGATAACAATAATACTGTAATTCCTAATAATACTAATAGAAATAGTAATAACAAAGACATATAACAATGTATAATATATATATATAGATTGATTAGACGCAATGCGATAAACCCAGTGACAAAGTCCAAGTGAGTGCTTCATTGGGGATGATTTCAATCCCATTCGTGGCACTTCATTGGAAGTGGCTTGTCGTTTTGAGGGACACTTCAACCATTTTTCACGATTTATTCATTGGCTAAGTCGCCGCTTATTGTTGTTAAGATATCCCATTCATGTATGATAGAATCATTGATTTATGTTAAGATTTGCAGATCTCCATTTAAGATAGCCATGTACTCTTGTTATAGCCTCTGGTAATCAAAAATGGTTTTCTGGAAAATCCACTTTATATAGAGATGATTTTCCCAGCTATAAACCTCCATTTGGTTCGGGGATTTTCCAGCTAGCCATGTTTGATTACGCGAGGGTAGCCATTGTTGTTCAGATAGCCATAACGCATGGACTGTTAATGGATATTAGTTAATGGAAACGCTCAGGAAAAACCATTAGATAGCCAGAAGATAGCCATCATATAGCGGATTATTGATTATATACATATATAATAAATAAATATATATATATATATTAACATTATATCTCACTATCTAATGGGTATTTTTGCTGGATATCTAGTGATATATAGATATATATATATATATCTATGAGATTCCCACTAGATATCCATTAGCCACTGATGTTCAGACAGGTCGTGTGACACCTTCGAATGCCCATCGCCTGCCATGAAGCATCCCTGGCTGCAGCCTATGACATGAACGTGTCGGTCAAATCGCACATCTCTCCTGTATCATTTTATAGAACTGTATGTATACATACAATTAGATGTATATTTATGAAACATAAATAGCAATGTGCATATAGCTATACCATATGTATATACGTATGACCGTGTATGTATATATATATACATATATATATATATACACATATATATATATATACATATACATATACATATAATATACATATACATAATATATATATATTAATTATATTATATTATATAATATAATATTATATAATAATATAATATTATATTATATTAAATTATATTATATTATATTATATTATATTATATTTTATTTAGGCATACACTTACCCATAAAGTTATCTAAATGTTGACATTTTCATATATATATATATTTACTGTATATACTATAGACAAAACATTGCATATGATATACTCAGTGCATTTGATTTCGGACAAATGGGTCATTTTTTTGGTTGGGGACTGGCCAACACACCACACAGGGGCGTTCGCCGACATCGGGGCTGCAAAAGATGGAACACAAGCCAAAAAGATGTCTATAGGTATACATTTGGTATCATTTGGTTGGATTGTTTCAGTTTTTATTCAAATTTGTGATAAACTTATTGGACCGCCAACTTCATCATTTCTGACAGGAAATCAGCTATTTTGAAGTCCGCAAGTCTTGAAACAGCAGGGGAATCGTGCAGAGGCACCACGTCTTCACAAGTTAAGGATTAGTCAGGGAAACCAGCCCTGAATACCCTTCAAGTTGGTGCATTGTTGCAATGCAGACCACAGATGTCTTTTTCCCACAAATTGATTGATGAAGGCCAAGCCTTCAACCAAGGCATCAGTGATGCTAAATGGCACGTGCAACTCTCTGATCCAAAGTACACCACCTGGAAAGAAATCCCATTCACTGGTCAATCATCATTTTCCATCATTTTCCTAAATGGGAATATGGCCATGTTATGATTGGCAAATTGGTATACAGAGAATAGGTACCCATATCATCCATTATAATCCCATATAGGTCCTATAGGTAGCCCAAAATCCTCGATGGTTTCATGTCCGGTCGTCCCAGGCCCAAGGGTAAAGGCCATTTCGGTTTCTCTGCCGCCCGTTGTTGTGATATGAGGAGATCTGTGCTGGGGATTGGATGAAGCAAGGTTTAGGGCAGGTGGAAGTTGTAGCAAATGGGATAGTAGGCATTGAATGATGATGACGAGGATGATGAGGAGGATGATGATGATGAGGAGGAGGGGGATGATGATGATGATGATGATGATGATGATGAGGATGGGACGGGGATGAGGATGGGGGTGAGGAGGATGATTGTTATTGCTCATATTTTACTCCTCAACATATACTTTGAAATGCTATTATTAAGATAGCAACACGAGAGTCCTCATTCAAACATGAAACGAGGCAGTGGTTTACCCATGCATGTGGCTGTTGTCGGTGACCTGCCTGAGGATGAACATAGACTGCAGCAATGTGAGTTCCACTATTTGGGATCCTATTGGTCAATGGACCCATCGTCAGAATTCCCAACAATCAGGTGCTCGTTACTCATAGCACGCAAGTCTTCTTCACTAATGGAAGACGCATGAGCCGTGTTCATAACTCCTGTTACTTATGAGTATAGGGGATCATACTAACCAATATATTGAGGATTATCACAATCCATGAACGGGGAATCCCGTTCTCAACCAACCAGTCATAAAGGGATGACATTTTGGCTACCTCATGAGTTCGGCACCGCAACCATTGTGGCTCTACAGGATCTGTAAAAAAACCAACGGCCTGTGTCCCCCCGTGGCGGTGGAACGCAGGCCAAGTCTTAGGCCTCCGAGGCCACTCACCACGCCTGTGCTTTTGCAGCGCGTCAGTGCCAAGAAACTTGGATTTCAAACAGGTGCTGTTTATACCATTTGATGTTGGACCACATTCTTGCTACAAGAATTTATTCAGTTGAAACAGATGTCTCTAAATTTTTCTTTTGATATTATCGGGAAGGGAGAATTACACCCGTTTTTAGGATTGACAGCGGACTTTTAACGAGAGGCTCGATTCGGCTCCAGAAACCCGGAAGACCCAATGGGCAGTTCCAATCAGTTCGGCTTACCATTTTTTCGTGTATCGGTCAAGGAAGAGTCAAAGAGTGGTTAACCAATGGTCAGAACCAAATCTGATTGTTTCAAACATGTCTGATTTTCATCCTCTGGAAAACTAACATAACTAATTATGGAAAAACAGCATTTTTAGTGGGTAAATCCAATTGATTTTCCATCCCTTCAGGCCCTTCAGGGATGATGATCCCCAATGACTCGGTTCGCCTAGACGTCACTAGATGTCTAGGACCTGGTCATGACTTTGGTGGAGCAGCCGGAGCTGTCTCAGAGTGCAACTTCGCTTTTGTTCAAATTGGCAAGTGCCTTGGTCAAGATGGAACCACAAAGCATGAGCTGACTGTTTCTTATTTAATTACTAGCATGTATAAATATTGATTATATAATTATTTGATGTTATATATATATATATGGATTATATATAATATATTGTATATACATTATACAAAAATATTTACATTATATATAATTGTATACTATCTATAACAATAACTACATATATGATTATAACATATTATAACTACGCATACATAACATATTTATGTACATTTAATTATATAAACAATATTTATATGTGACTCGATTATGGTAATTCCCCAAAACATAGAAACGTAAATTCCTACTGAAGTGGAGATAATTTACTTTTTTTTAGAGGGGTTACTATATGTATTATATATTCTTATATATACTATATGCATTATGGTGGTATTTTGATTTTCTAGTTATACTGGTTATTATATTTTTATTCTTTAGTATTTGTTGTTTCCACATGGTTCATATTTTCCAAGGGAGAAACAACCGACCAGTCTAATGTCCATGCATGGATCGGAATTTAGTTCATGCTACTCGTGAAATCCAATGGTTGGGGTCGGCAGCTGCAGAGAATATCAGTGTACCATCATAGAACTCATTGAAACGAGCTCAGATATGCATGGGTGCACGGAAACATCATCATCATCATCATCATCATCATCATCATCATCATCCAGAATTCATCAGAATGTCAGCAAGCAACTGATCCATTCTTACTTGCCTTTTGATCCGGAACCAAACTTCATGAAGACTGGTCTGAAAAGATATGCTTTCCTGGTTTACCTATCTCGGTTTGTGCACCTGCCCTCCAATTCAACGCCAGCAAGTGCGAATGACTTCCGACCAGGCCTCAACTCCAAATTCCAGAAAGCCTCGACAGTAGAGAAATAGATTTGTTTGAAAATGGGACACACTCAAATCTACTGTCCTTTTTTTGATATGTATTGTTTATCATTTTCCGTAACCAACAAAGACGGGAGACCGAGCTCCTGCAAGGTAAGCAGACGCAAGAAGCCTTTATCTTTAACTTGCATAGCATCTTGGCATCCCTAGGTTTGTCCCAAGCGCGACTTGCTTGGATGACCCTGGAAGTTATTAAAGTTATAGTAAAATGCTTCTGCCTTGGAAAAGTTAGTAAAGTAGAACTTAGGCCCTACAAGTATGATATCGTATCCATGATAGCTAGTGACAATTCTGAAGCATTTACTAGCTTTCAGATCATCGAACATGGCTAACAAACATCTCCGTGAGGAAAAACATGGACCCTGCGTGTTAGTGTCAGAGATGGGCTACCTGCCTTGAATCAACCAGGATTTGCGGGAATTTCCAGAGCTTGGTGATGCAACCTGTGGCTGATGGTTCATCATCTTTCAATGTATCACTTGTTTGCTTCTTTTCAATCCCGGGGAAGCAGAAACGGGTGACTCATCCGTCAGTTCATCCACTGATTAGACACGGGCACCCAAAAATCCAATGGTTAATCATCATTCTTTATTTTTAAAATACTGTGGTTATTCACGGTTATTCTGGGGGTTGCTGGGGTATATACAATTGTTGGACGGACGCCCATGAATTTTCTAATATTCAGCCCTGGATGTTGTTTCTTTGCTTGTGATATCTTCCTATTTGTAGGATAACGCCGATAGATTAAGTCTCTATGCAGCTTACTATCAACTTGATGCTCAGTTTCGTGTGATACATTTTGCTTCGAAACTTTGATTCTCATCAATACCTTAACTGTAGTGAATGTAGCCTTTTAACACAAATGGGGATAGTTCATTCACGTTTGTTCAATTTCTTGGACCCTTCGGACCCTGGACGCCCATAGATTTGGCTGCCGAGATATTTGTGGATATTGGCCGAAACAACGGCCTTACAACTTCGTCCATCTTCCTTGGAAGCAGCTTGCAGTCGTGAACTTTGTGTCTAACGAAGAGTGCCTTGGCTGAGCTGGAGAAGCAACATGAAACTCATTATGAGCTACGACCTGCCAGCAAAACATGGAGTACATTTTTTTGGGTGAAAACATTGGTGTTGAACTCTTTTATTCTATTTTTTCCCCACCTGTCAGGTAAGGGTTGTTAGATTTTGTCAGTCTGCCCGCCTCCTCCTTCCTCCTTCCTCCTTCCTCCTTCCTTCCTCCTTCCTCCGCTCCTCGCCGGACCTCAACTGCAAGCTCTAGATTGGAGTGTTCCCCGCTGGACCTCCACCGCAAGCTCCGGATCAGAGTCTTCCCCGCCGGACCTCAACCACAAAGAATCTCCGAAGATATACCAGATAGAATGCCAGAAAAGACTGTCAGAATAGATGCCAGATAGAATGCCAGAAGAGAATGTCAGGTAGAATGCCAGATAGCATGCCAGAACGTATGCCAGAACATATGGCAGAAAAAAGGCCAGATAGAATGCCAGACAAAATGTCAGTATAGATGCCACAAAGGATGCCAGATAGGATGTCAGAATAGATGCCAGATAGAATGTCAGATAGAATGCAAGATAGAATGCCAGAATAGAATGTCAGAAGACTATACCATATATATATAAATATTTCCAGACGGTATGTCAGAAACTATGACAAATAAGTGTCAGGGTGGGGATCACTCAAAGTATTTTTTTTTGAAAATGTCTACCTGCTGGGATTTGTCCCCCTCAGTGCCCTCAAACCGCCCAGCAGAGGCGCAATGGATTGATGGAAATCCAGTGGTCTTCCAAGACAAGATGTCTTCCAAGAGTGTCTGACAGTAGTCATGTTCCATGAGCCAACCGATCTAGTGCAAGCGATTTTGCAGCCTGAAGTCTTGGGTAGAGTGTAGAGATCTTGCGTAGACCTACAGGAGACTGTGTAGGTCTGTGTAGGCATTTCTGCTTGATATATGTATATGTATATATATATATAGATATCCAAAAATAGATATAAATAAATAAAAATATATATATATATATATATGAACCTTTTCTCTCTTCCGTACCTGCAACTTTCAATTGCGGTTCATGGGATCAACGGCCAAAAACCCAGTGGAAGTGTTTTACTGGTGGCGAAACTCCGATGGGAGGATTATATAATTCATTGTGGGTGAGAATTCCGTCAGTGAAGCGTGACATGTCAGGTGGGAGTTTCTCCAGTTTATTGGTGAGTGATATCAATGACATCCCCAGATGCCCCCAACTCGGGGTTTCCACAGCGCGTTTGGCCACGGTTTGTGTGGCTATCAAAATCACACAAACCCAGAGTTGGTAAAGCACTATCCCATGCTCAAAATACAAATTTGGGCCAGCATTTTTTTTCAGAACAGGCCACTGTGGGAGTGCGCAAATTGCAGCATTTCCTGTGCAAAGATCCAACAGCATATGGCGCAACCGGACAAAATTGAATTCCATTCCTCTCTGCTGTTCATTGGCTGAATGCACTATGTCATAGCAAACATTGCTGTACTGTAGTGTATCGACCTTGCTTCTAGTGCAACCACTGACAGTGCCTGGCAATCTCTGCTTGGCACATCTGCAATGGCTATCCACACACAAACCAAAAAACCAAAAAAACAAAAAACCAAAAAACCAAAAAACCAAAAAACCAAAAAAACCAAAAAAACCAAAAAGACAAGACCCAACACTCTGCATCTGACCCCCTCCCCTTGGGGTGTGCAATCTTGGTTTTTTTGTTTTTTTTGTTTTTTTTGGTTTTTTGGTTTCTTGGT